TGGAGTAAGCCTTCATCAAGGCCAGCATCTCGGTGAAGTGGGGCAGCGATGACACCACGGAAACCACAGAGGAATTGGCCACAGGAAGCGTCCCAGCTGCTGCTGATTAGCATTAGGACAAATTACACACAGCAAATTGTTAGCAGACATGTTTCCAGAATCTTTCACTGGTGGCAATAAAGAAGAGCGATTCGCTTTTAAGTAAATGCTAGAGTTCAAATAAGAAAAAGAAAAAACCCAGCTCCCAACTGTGTGTGAAGGGATACTCTTGGGTTAGGGGAACCACAGGAGGGAATGACAGTGGAAATGGAAACTTACAGGCCACCACCGGATGTGGGCAGGGCACAGATGATAATGATGCGTGTGCAAGTGCCTGGGACAGATGATGCATCTGTGTGTGTGAGCCTGCCTGTGCATAGATGATGATGATGATGATATGCGTGTGTGTGCGTGTGTCTGCACGCCTGGGCACAAATGATAATAATGTGTGTGTGTGTGTGTGTGTGTGTGTGTGTGTGTGTGTGTGTGTGTGTGCCTGGGTACAGATGATAACAATGTGTGTGTGTGTGCGTGTGTGTGTGTGTGTGTGTGTGTGTGTGCTCGCGCGTGAGCCTGGGCACAGATGATGATGATGTGTGTGTGTGTGTGTGTGCCTGACACAGCTTTTGTGTGTATGTGTGCATGTGTGTACACATGCCTAGGGCATTGCTGCTGGGTTTGAACTCACACAGTGGGAGCTGGGATATTGGGGCCTCTGGATTCCTCTCTGGGGGTGGCAGTGTGGTGCTGTCCCCAAACGGGGGCTGCAAACATAAGGAAAGCCAGAGATAAGTCTGTACAACTGTCCTTTAGCAAGACACCAGGGGATTTCAAATTGCTGGTGGAAAATGGAGTGAAGACAAGATTATTTTGGTGCAAAAAAACTGTGAACTCCACATATAGAATTTTTTTGGTTTGTATTTTCCACAAGTTTTCTGAAGACCTCCTCCTCTAGTATTGACAGAGTTAGCTATTCATTCCCAGTCCCATGTCTTCTTCAAAGTCACAGCCCCTGCGATGGGAAAGGGGTGCAGAAGGAGCCCCATTCAAGGTGCACAGTGGATGGTGCCCACCCACTCCAGCAGGGAGCAGAACTGGCTCTCTCCCTCGCTCAGGACTTTGTGAGCACAAAGTCCAGTCACCAGGCACCTCTGGGTATTCCCGACTCTCTGCAAAGATTTGACAAACTTCTTCTGAAGCAATCTTTGAGGGGAAAAAAAAAAGGTTTAAAATAGTTTTAACTAAGAGCTTGGGAAATGCTCCATTCGGAATTATCAGTATATAAATGTGTGGATTTGTGCTCCCTCAATGACTGATGTTTTCCTCTAATTTTTCCAGGATTTATTTATTTATTTGAAAGGCCATGTTAGAGAGAGAGAGAGAGACTCTCTTGTCTGCTGCTTCCTTCCCCAGATGGCTACAACAGCCAGGGCTGGGCCAGGCTGAAGCCAGGAGGCAGGAGTTAGTATCCAGGTCTCCCACATGGGTGGCAGGAGCCACTGTTTTCCCCCAACCTTTGGCAGGGAGCTGGATCAGAAGCAGAGTGAGCCGGCACAGAACCGGCTTCCGTTGGGAATGCTGGTGTTGCAGGTGAAGACTTGACTGGCTGTGCCGCTGCTCTGGTCAGAGCTGTTGTCCTCTCTAAGCAGCGTTGCCTTTGTGTAAGGGCCTGCCCCTTACTAATGTCAGGTTCAGCTCTCCTGAGGGGCTCTTTGCTTCTTTGTCCTGCTGGAAAGGGACAACAAGTAGCAACAGCCCGTAGCCGGAGTATGCTTTGCTTCTGTGCCCCAAAGCTGGGGTATACTTGTCCCTCCCCTATGGCCCCAGAAAACACCCACATCATCACCTCCAGCCTTCACCAAGCGAGTCATGAGCTCTGCCAAACAGCTGCGAGGCCCCAGACAATGGAATAGTCTCCTGAGCTTTTGCTTTAGGTATTTAAGAAACAAATGCCATTGGAGATGTTTGGAGCACGAGCACACACGAAAGCATACACTGTAATTTGAAATTATGCAAAACTAGTAGGATCCACTGCAGCTTGTAGCAAAGCTACTCTGCCTGTGAAGGGCCTCCCAGGAGACTGTCCCTGGGCGAGAGTGACCCCCTCGGCCTGGCCCTGCAAGGCCAGCTTGGAGGAGACAGCCTGGCATGTTTTATATTTGTGCTGCTCTTCAGCCACCTGGCTTGACAAAGTTACTGAGCACAGGATGGTTTCTCATGGCAACATGGTCCCACTCATTTGGACAGCTGCTTGGGGTGAGCTGAGAGGAATTATCTCTTGGGTCATTTTCCGCTGTGGTCACATTCATTTTAAGAGGAATGCAATTTAAAAAATGTCGAACCTTAAATATCAAGGCTGTAGCAATTTCAAGTTGAATGTGGAATGAGATAGCTCAGTGAGAGTGGCTCTGCGTGAAGACAGATTCAGTTTTTTTTCCGAGACTTTGGGGACAAGCAGGGCTCTCTGCCCCTTTTTGGAGCTGGTGGAGCTGGTCTGAACTCCTGGTGCAGCAGGACTCCGTGAGGCCGGGCAGGGAGCTATGAGAGTACTTGAAAAAGTTTGTGGAAAAAGTGCAGTCAAGATGTATGACTTGTTGCAAAAATGTTGAGATCTATGCCTACGAGGGGATCTTGAAAAATCTCATAGAAAATATGTGATATGCAAAAACATGTATTTCAAAATTTTATTTATTTATTTGATAAACAGAAAGACATGAGAGAGGTTCTATCCGTTGGTTTACTCCCTCAAATACCTGCAACATTTGGTCTAGGCTTGAAGCTGGGAGCCAAGAACTCCATCCAGGCCTCCCAGGCAGCCCATGTGAGTGGCAAGTGCTTAGCTACATGGTCTTTCATCTGCTGTTTCCCAAGCACATTATCAGGACGCTAGATCACAGATGGAACTGCTGGGACTCAGACCAGTACTCAGATAGGGGAGATGGCCAGGCCAACCATGATGCCTGCTCCTCAAAACAATTGGGGGAAGGGCAGCGTGATACCCTAGTGGCTAAATCCTTACCTTGCATACACCAGGATCCCATATGGGCACAGGTTCATATCCCGGCTGCTCTGCTTCCCCTCCAGCTCCCTGCTTGTGACCTGGGAAAGCAGTTGAGGATGGCCCAAAACCTTGGGACCCTGTACCCACATGTAAGACCCAGAAGAAGCTCCTGGCTCCTGGCTTCAGACTGGCTCAACTCCAGCCATTGTGGCCACCTGGAGAATGAACAAGCAGACAGAAGATGTTTCTCTCTGCCTCTCCTCTGTATATCTGCCTTTCCAATCAAAATAAATCTAATAAGTCTTTTTAAAAAATTGGTTAAAAATTAACCTTAATTTTTTTTATTAGACAAGCAGATTTATACAGAGAAGGAGAGTTTCATTCCCCAAATAGCCTCACTGGCAGGATCTGAGCTGATCTGAAGCCAGGAGCTTCTCCCAGGTCTCTCATGCAAGTGCAGGCTCCCAAGGATTTGCGCCATCCTCCATTGTTTTCCCAGGCCATAAGCAGGGAACTGGATGGGAAGTGGAGCAGACAGGGCATGAACCAGTGCCCCTACCAGATATCAGCGCTTGAAGGTAGAGGCTTCCACTTTCCATGAAAATTTAAATTATCCTTGTATATGTCAATGGACAAGGCGTCACAGATGTCAGAACACTGAACAGAGCCAATGAGTGAGATATGTGAGGTGTTTTAGATTTCCTGGTTTTCACAAACAGTCTCAAATACACAAGCCCTGTGTTACTTTGGAAGAAAACTAACTTCAGGGCAACAGTGAGGACTTAGGACACAGTATCGAAGGATAGAGCCTGTTTAAGATGTTGATGACTGAGGATGGTGTTGTGGTACAGCGAGCTAAGATATCATCTGCAACAGTGGCATCCTATAGGGACACAGGTTCAAATTCCAGTTACTCCCAATCCAGCTCCTTGTCATTGTGCCTGGGAAAGCAGTGAAAGATGGCCCAAGTACCTGGGCCCCTGCCATCCATGCTGGAGACCTGAATGGAGTTCTGGGCTCCTAGTTTCATCCGGGTGCAACTCCTGGCCACTGACCCCATATGGAGAGTGAACCAGGAAATGGACGCTCTCGCTCCCTCTGCCACACTTTCAAATAAATAAACCTTAAATACCTCCCTACTCCCCCAAAAAAGGATTAAGATTGTGAAGGCTTTGTGCCATTACTTGACTAATGGCCATTTTGTCCTAGGCTGAACCTTGTAGACATTAAGCTCTCCCACAACCCAGGTGGTCAAGTACAACAGCATAGGGTGCTGGGCCCTCCTCCTGCCCTTATCTGCCACCCCCTAGGTGCTCCCCCATTCTTGTGTCCCAGAAGGAGCCTGCTTGGCTGCCCTGTTTAAAGCCCTGTTCCTCAAAGGGTGCCTAATGGCACTCCATGGGCTTCACCCGCATCCTGATTTGTGGAGGGGTCAACAGACAGATCCCCTGCCCCTCCAATCCAGGTCATTGTCAGGGTCAATCAGATCACCTACAGCAGATCAAGAGGGGAGGGGACCAGACCTTGGGGACCAGCTGAGACCCCTTTCCTAGCAGAAGAGGCGCTGTTTCCAGTTCCTATTACGGTTCCTATGGAGGCAAGCTAGCCTTGACCTTCACACTTCAGGAGTCACAAAGTCTAGAATTCACCCCATTCCGAACAAGCATAAATGCTCCTTCAAGGGAGAGGGGATGCTCATGACAAAGGTGACTACACTTCCTGCTGAAGATGAGGAAGAAGAAACGGGCTGAGGGGGAAGAGAGGGAGAGAAGCAACAAGGAAAGGCAAGACAGAAGTACTGGCTTCCTCAGCTGCCATGGGCTGGAAAATCAATTTTTCCCTTGTTATCCCATGGTGTGAAAGGAAAACCTCTTTGTAAATGGAATTGAACCCCATAGCAGCCTGCCTGTGTATTCACAGAAGACTGCAGAAATTAGCAGGGAAAGTAGAAATCCACATGTCCATTTCAAAGCTTGGTTGAGACAATTTTCTCTGGTTTGTAAAGAAACACACCCATAGCTGTCACAAAGCACCCCCAATAAGCCAACCTATCCACCCCTCAGAAGGACTCTATGAGGGAAGTGGTCCCCCAGACCCATCTGGTAAGAGCCAGATTCCAAATCCTTGCCTCATCCGTCAGTCAACCACAGTGATTGGATATGAGTTCAAGGCCGCTTGAGGGCGGCTTCTTCCCAAGCTGCAATCTGCGGCACTGAGTCAGGGTCTATATGTGAGGGCGCCACTTCTCCCGACCCACCCAGCCAGCCCCCAAGTCCCAGTTCACCAGCAGTGTGCCCTCTGGTGGGGCAGTCCAGTACTTCTGATAACTGTGAAGAGCAATGTGGGTCGTGGTTATCCTCAGAAGACTCCCAAAACAGAATTAAACCAGGCTCATACAGATAGATCTCCAGATCAGAGCAGAGGTAGGAGGTGGGAGGAGCAGGCACATCTGACACCTGCAGGGACTAGTGAGCTTTTCATGACCTTTGAACCTCAGGGGATTCTTCTGGGACAAGTGAGTCCTCTGCTCTCTCATTATACAAATACCCCCTCTACTAACGGGGTCTTTGTCATTTCTTGATAAGTCATAAACACACCTGGGCCTTCCGAAAGCAGCTCTGTGTGTGTGTGTGTGTGTGTGTGTGTGTTTAAGGTGAAGATGCATATGTTTTATTAAAAAAAAATATCAAGTCACTGTGCCTGCCAGTGGGAAGAGGAGACCCCCATTTCATGGTGCTGCTGGCTGTCAGTAAGGCGGAGGAGCCACTTGAGCTCTGTGGTGTTGGGGTCTGGTTCCGTCTTCAGAACTTGGCTTGCTTCAGCTTGTCGATGTGGTAGCAGAGTTTGAGGGCAGGCCCCAGCTTCAGGCCCAAGTACTTCATGATCATGTCACTCTTCAGCAGCAAGAGGGCGTGGCCGTCAATCTCCTGGAGCAACAAGACCAAAACAAACAAGCAGACAAAAGTAAACAAATCAAAGACTCGGGAGGGATGAGTGAGATTAGAGAGAGTAGGGAAGCCTAGGGTGCGGTCACAGGATGAGGCGGGGGTCACCCCAAATCAGGAAGAGTCAGTCCCCTCTGCTGGTGATCCCAGAGTGAGAGCTTCTTCAGAAAAACGTGACCACGTGCTTAATGCTGCCTGGGTGCCCAGGATCTCTAATGGGATCTCGGTGCAATGTGTGGCTGAAGGAGCCAGGGTGTGGTCCTCCAGACCTGGGCATGAGACCTGCACAACTCTAGCACTAAAACAGTGAGATGGTTTTAAGCCATTACGTTAGTAGTAGAAAACCAAAGCAGTAACCTTGGTCATTTCATATGTCAACATCTCCTAAATAACTGTGACAATGCCTACGAATGGCCTGGCATCATGCATTTTCTGATCTCATGCTAATCCAATGCACAACAGCCCATGAGTTTGCCTTCCTAGCGGTTACTGCATGCCCAGAGGGGTGATGGTTAGGGAAACAGCTCCATTAAGGCTAACAAATGGGACAGATAAGCCTTACAGACACACCAGGGTCTGGGGACTCTGCCCTGAGAAGCTGTGCTTGTACCTGTCTCTCCCGTCTGGCTGCCCTAAGCAGTCCTAGAATCCCACCCTTTCCCCTACAGTCCCCAGTTGCTCCCTGAATTTTCCCTGTCTGCCAGCCCCATCCCCATGGCGTACATGCTTTCTGAAGAGCTCCACGTGTGGCCCCAGAGCCTGCGGGTCGGCGTCTTTGACGAACCACACCACATCCTCCACCGTCCAGGTGGACGGGTTCCTGCTCCGTGGCCGCCGGTTGTCCTGCTTGTCCAGAGAGGGGCTCGTTGTCATCGTTGCTGAATGGGAGGAGCAGAGAGGGGGAGACTTGAACCAGCAGGTCAGGGGCTTCGTGCCTGCCTGGGTCTGCCTGCCCCACACTCAGCCCAGGGTCCTTAATGCTCTCATATCAAGGCAGGGACTCCAGGGACCTCCTGGGCCAGGGAAAGGCTCTGGTGGCTTGCACTGTCAGCAATCGGGAGCACAGGAAGGCAACTCTCAGAGGTATCACGCTCCCCAGCCTTGGCAAGTCGAATGCATGCCACTGAAGTTCCTGTCAGTACTTAGGTCAAGATGCAGTGTGGGGTGCCTCTATCCCACACTGGAGTGCCTGGGTTTGAGTCTCAGGTCTGCCCCTGATCCCAGTTTCCTGCTCATGTGCACCCTGGAAGGCAATAGGTGAGGGTCAGGTGCTTGGTGCCCACATGGGGGACCAGGGTTGATTTGCTGGCTTCTGGCTTTAGCCTGGCCTAGCTAGCTCTGGCTGTTGCAGACATTTGGAGAATCAACCACTGTACGGAAGATCTCTGATTTTTTTTTTTTAATCAGAGTGATTTTTTTTTTTAAAGAGGAAAAATACTTTTGAAAAAGATGTATTTATTTATTTGAAAGCAGATCTGGGAGGGGAGGGGGGAGGAGATAGGAGAGTGGATCCAAAGCCAGGAGCCAGGAGCTTCTTCTGAGTCTCCCACTGGGGAGCAGGGACACAAGGGCTTGGGCCATCTTCTGCTGCCTTCCCAGTGGAGCAGCCAGGACTAGGATAAGCCTGACCTCTATGTCACAGCACCAGTTCCAGAAGCATTATTTTCAAAAATATCTCATGTTAAAAGGTTGGGTGTTCTGTGGAGGCAGTGTTTGGGAGGTGGAGCCTTGTGGCAGGTGTTTAGCTCATGGGGAAAAGTCTTCATGAAAGGATGAATGCTTTTTCCTCAAGGGAAGATAATGAGTTGGCTGCTGGGGCATTCCACCCTCTTTTCTCTCTCTTACACTTGCTCTCTCCACCGCACTGCCATGGGTAGAAACAACACAAGGCCCTCACCAGAACCCGAGCAGATGCCAGTGCCATGCTCTAAGGTTCCCCAGCCCAAACCAGGATCCAAAATAAACCTTTGCTTCTCATCAGTCACACAGCGCCAGGCTTCCTGATTTAGTAACAGGACACAGAGCAAGGCGCTCTCTGGCCACAGCATCTACTTTTGGAGGAGTGAAGCATTAGACAATGGGTTTCCTTCAACGGGTTGAAGCTCTTGTATGAGTAGACTTTCCAGGCCCCTGCTACTCCATTCCCGTGGAGGATGGCTACATGGTACCCAGGGCATGTGTGCTGAAGTCTGAATGGACCTCTCTACTGTGCTGGGGTCCTGGCCACCTCCACAGGTTTCCTCCAAAATGACAGACATAGTAGAATTCAGGTGCCTTTTGGTCCTGTCCTTGGTTCCTACAGAATAGTCAATCTGGTACCACATCCTCAGCACCTCTGACTACAAGGGTCCTCCACCCCCATGGGCTGTGTAGCATGGGCAGAAAGAAGGTGACATATAGCCTAGTGGGGTAGCTCAGCAGCTAAAGTCCTCACCTTGCATGCGCCAGGATCCCATATGGGCACTGGTTCTAATCCCGGCGGCCCTACTTCCCATCCAGCTCCTTGCCTGGGAGCCTGAGAAAGCAGTTGAAGATGGCCCAAAAGCCTTGGGACTCTGCATCTGTGTGGAGACCTGGAAGAGGCTCCTGGCTTCAGATCGGCACAGCCAATTGGGGAGTGAATCATTGGACAGAAGATTTTCCTCTCTCTCTTCCTCTCTATATATCTGACTTTGCAATAAAAATCAAATACATTTTTTAAAAAGGTGTCATGTACACACTCTGCCCCAGGCATCCACGCTGAATGCCCTGCCCTCAGCACCCAAGTTTCAGAGCATTCACACTGGTCTCCCCTATACCAGCTTGGAATTCCTCATTACAAAAGGTCTAACCCCATCCATGCCTGTACCACGATGGCTCTTTATGAACAGTGGCATGAGTGCCATTTCCAGTTGGGCATGGGAGAGGTCCAGCACAGGTGAGGGAGAGAGATGCAGCAGCTACCTGGTGCTATTTAGGAGTCAACGGTTTTGGTGAGGTCCCAAGCCAACTCTCCTGCTTTTCCCAGAGCCAGCTTCTCCCCCTATCTCCTATGTTTTTGAGACCAATCTTAGCTCCCCAGCACATTGCACCATCCCGAGGCTCTCAACATGGGGCCTCTCATGCTGGAGTCCTCCCTGCGATCTTTGTTGCTGCCTCCCACTGTCAGAAGCTCTCACTGAACCCCTACAAATGGTTCTCCAGTGAGTCCTTTTGCCCAATGCTCTTGTCAGTGCATTCACCTGCCAAGGCACAAACCAAGCTCCCTGGGAGCCCTTTGACCTGTTCCCCAAGTTCCTACTCTATATCAGGTCCAAATACCTTCTTTGGTCTCAGTTGTGTCATTATTTCCTAGGCAGGACATTGAAGGTACAGAGATAAATCGCAGATTGAGGAGCTGCCACCTACTTGCCATCCCCAGTTGGTGATGTGACCATGATGAGACTTGGCAGATGTAACATGGCAGTGCTCTTGACCTGGAGGTGTAGGTGTGATGTATGAAAGGGGACAGTGCCCAGCGCTGTGCCTGGACATGCTCACGATAGCCCACATTTTCTCTAGCCTGTTCCTTCTCCACCATTCACTGCACTTGGGCTTCTTCTAGGGACAGTCCCACCCTTCCCCCTCCAGTGGCATTGGTCCCAGCCACCTAGTCACCAACCAACACCTTCATGAGCATTACTTCTGCCCTGTTCTCCTGTAAGTTCCCCTGCAAGACCCTGGAAAGGTCTTCTGGGATGTTTTCCCCATTTTATCATGCACAATGACTTCATGCACTTCGCTCCTGGGGACCCCCCACATCTGCCTCACCACCCCCTGTCCTTTCATTCCAGGTGTATTTTCTGTCTCAGGTGCTGGGTGAAGTGTTGAGGAAAAGCACAAATGAGACCCCCTCATTTATAGGAGTGGTCATCAATGCTTCCTCCACGACAGCAGGTGCATCACTTCTACAAGTTTAGTGAGATGACAAAAGTATTAAATCGGCTTCAAACCTTTGTGATACAGCAGGTTAAGACACTGCCTGTGGCATCAGCATCCCATATGTGGGTACCTGTTCAAGTCCCAGTTGCATCACCTCTGATCCAGCTTCCTGTTCATGTGCCTTGGAAAGCAGGCAAGATGGTCCATATGCTTGGGCTGCTGCACCCGCATGGGAGCTTGGATGGAATTCCAGACTCTTGGTTTTGGCCTAACTTGGTTATTTGAGGAGCTTATCCTAAACACACTGTAGTTTGGTTGAAAACTAGATTTACTTTGAGGTTTTTTCCCTCTTGTCTTTTCCTTGTTGGACCTCGAAGGGTCTCCTAAGGGTGGTTTAGCATGGGGGATATTTTCCTAATGTACCCCCAGAGCCATGTGAATGCTGATACATGTTTATTAAGGCCTATCGCATTTATTTAAAGACATCTACACCCAACCTAGACACAAGGAGTCCCAGAAATCGCAGCTGCGTTGGGCTTCACTCCCATCAGTGCACCACTGTAATCAGTGATAAGTGAGTTCTAACGACAAAGGCTGACAGAGGATCTAAGCGTGATCAGAGAGGAGGTCAAATCTAATTTCCTGTAGTTGTCAGGAAGGGGATAAGCAAAAGGCTAGGACAATCAACAGGATCCTTCTAAAGTCTTTGAGCCAGGCCTGGGCCACATGCTTCTATGGGCCTGGGCCACGTGCCCCCATGGGACTGAGAAACGTGCCCCCATAGGCCTGGGATACGAGTCCCCATGGGCATGGACAATACACCCATATGGATCTGGCCAATACACCCCCAAGGACCTGGGCCACACATCCCCAAGGACCTGGGCCATGCACCAACATGGGCCTGGTCCACATGACCCCATGGGCCTGGGTAGAAGATTTCTCTTTAAGGAGTAGGTTTCAGCAGTGACAGCTGGGGAGGGAACTGAGTCAAGGGGAGGGGCGCCCTTCCACCTCTCTGTGCTTGGTATGGGTTTTTTTGTTGTTGTTGTTTTTCACTTTTGTAGGATGCAGCAGCAGTGATGGCAGCTGGCCTGGCCCTTCCATCCTCCAGAGACCTCTTGAGTCAATACAAGAGAGGGAGCAGCAGGCAGTAGATGTTATACTTTGTGGGAGTTGTTCCCAGTCCAAAAGCTCAGAGACTCATTCTGGAAGAAAGAGAAATGGAGCTTTGCCACTGTAGGCTGACGACACCATCACAGTGGTACCCACTTACTCACAAAGGTCAGAAGCACAACCCTTGGTCGTCCAGGTGCCAGAAGGTGTCAAGGAGACAGGTGGGTCCCAGTCAGAGCGGGAGGATGTGGGAGGTCAGAGTGTGAGAAAGTCTTGCTCCTGGGTCGCATCCTGGGAGCAGGCAGCTGCCCCCAGCGCAGGGAACCCGGTGCTCAGTGGGTTGCTCCCTGGGTGTTGCAGAGACATCCAGCTATAGGTGAATGTGTTAAGTAGATGTCATTTCTGTGGCTGAGCAGATTTTCCAACTCTGAGCTAGCCATGGAGTGGCAAGGAATAATAAGATTAGCAGCAGGCCAGCAGTTGGGAGGTCTTCCCAGGGTGTTTGGCTTGGTCTCCAGAGTCTCTCGACCCATGAAGCTGCCCACACAGCTGCCAAGGCCTCCTCTTCATGTCCATGTGCAAAACCCGTGGAACGAAGAGCTGCTGCATGGCCTGGGACCTTATCCTGGTTCAGATGGTTGCCCATGGATCTCGATGCCTCATCTGTGAACTGAGCATGTCATGTGTGGCTTCTTGAGAGGGTTTCATGAAGCACATGACTATGAGGTTTAGGCAAGACCCTGGCCCATCATGGGATTTTAATCAGGATATTCTTTTCAGACCAGCTAACCCATCTATGTGAGAAGAGAGGATGCCGAGAGAGAACAAGAAAGAGCGGGCAGGCCAGATATCTTCTTGCCAGAGAGCAAGGTGACCTCTTCAGGAAGTCTTCAGCCAGCCCTCCTCCCACTGCCCTTCCTTAGCCATCTGCTACCTACACCACTCTGCTCCCCACCGCCCTTCCCAATCAGCCCCCTGCCACTTCTTAAGCTTTCCTGGCCTCCCAGGACAGGTGCAACCATGCCCCATCCCCAGCTGATGTGCTTCTGGCAGCCACACCTGGCCTTGGACACTGTGGTCATGGCAGTTGGGAAAGGCCCGCGTCCTTTGTTCACATCTGTCTGGGTGGGGGTGGGGGGAATGGACCACACACTGACAATGGGACCTGTGTCTGTCTCATTCGTAGCCCTAACCTCAGACCCACCAACGGCCCCTGCTGCATTGTGCTCAGTGTCTACTGACTAGGAGACCCAGTGCTCTCCGAGTCTTAGCTGCCCACCTGGAAGACATTCCCTGTGGTGGGTGGCTGTGGAAATTCAATGGGATGGTACTGTGAAACATTAGACAGTCACGCATTATCAAAGGCTGTGACTATTATTACTGCCATGACACATGTTGGCCAGCAGACGCAGCTTGCTAAACTCCATGGCCTTCAGCTCATTCCTTTGTTAACAATGTTTGATTTCCATTACTACAGACGCAACCCAGTATATGCCCCTAACAACTTGGTATGGGACCCCTCAGAGCCCCCTGCACAAACTCTTCTTGCTCTAGAACCAAAAAGTCCGTGATTTGGGGTCAGCTGTGGCATAGTAGTAAAAGCTATTGCCTGTGGTTGCCAGCATCCTGTATGGGCCCTAGTTTAAGTTCTAGTTGCTCCACTTCCAATCCAGCACCCCGCTAATGTGCCTGGGAAAACAGTGGACGATGGCCCTCATGCTTGGGCCCATGAACCCACATGAGAGACCTGGAAGAAGTTCCTGGCTTCTGGCTCCTGGCTTCAGACTGGCCCAACTCCAACCACTGCAGCCACTGGGAAATGAACCAGCAGAAGGATCAACCCTCTCCCCCCGCACACACACACACACACTGCTTTTCTCTCTCTCTCTTTCTCTCTCTCTCCCTCTCTGTCCCTCTTCTTTCTCTGTAATTCTGCTTTGCAAATAAATAAAACAACTTCATAATAAAGCCCCTGCTGCATCTTTGCCAGCCCAGTTCACATCACCCCCTACTACCCCTTGCCTAAGAACATCATCCTTTTTCTAGCAGAAGCTCTCCATCCCTCTCTCAACACCCTGTGGTAACAAAAGCCAACCTGCCCCAAAGCAGTAGGACCGAAACAACCATGTCATTCTGCATCTTGTGCCAAGCTGGGGATGCTGCAGCAAGTACAAATCCATGCAGAAGCCAGGAGGCTTTCAGACCTCCCTGCAGTTCTCAGTGATGACATCTGGATGAGGGGCAGGGAAGAGCTCTCCAGGCTGCATCCGGGCATCAGGAACACCAGGAAGCACGCTCCGTGCACACGGCCCACCTACCAGCCCACTGGTGGGGAGCTAGTCCCATCCATCACTGCAGCAGGAGGTGGAGGCAAGCATCCACCTGAGAGGAGGAGGCTGAGAAATTGTCCTGTCACCCTTACTTCCCTCCTGCCTGCAGCCCCATGCAGTCAGCCGGCTGCTGTGGCTTCAAACCATTTTGATTTGTGCTTTAGGGAGGAAGGAAAAAAAGATCTATTTCTAGATGTCTTTCAGAGTTTATGGCTGGGGCAAAACCCTCATAAAATGGTCTGGTTTCTTGATGCCAATGTATTTCATGTGAGATGCAATGTAGAGAAATTCAGAGTAGTCCTCTGGGCAGAGGGAAAAATATTCACGGCCTCCTTGAGAGCTGTCAGGTGGGCAGGCACGCAGGCAGGTGGACTGTGTGTGGGGTTGCTCCTGCTCTTCTCGCCCACCACCAACAACCAACATTCAAGCCAGTAGGGTTCGATGCCACAGTTTCCAAACATGCTAAGCTGTGCAAATTTTGTTTAAGCTAAGTATGAGCAGAATACCATTCTGCCAGTGTGGAGAGGCCCCTTTAAAAGACACGCAGAAGGTGGAACTGAAATCCTTCCTTCTTCCATCCCTTCTCTTCATCCTCCAGGACCAAAAACAGGCGGGCCCCCTCAGTACCTAAAAAGTTTGTGGAGCCAGTCTGGAAGAGCCAGGCTTTCCAGGCAGCTGAAATCACCCTTGGCTCTGCACTTGCTAGACCTTCACTGTCTTATCTATACGTTATTTGGAGTAACACCTACTTCTTACAAGCACCAGCCTATAAGACATCCAGGAAAGTGTGTATGACTTCTTCACCCCCACTCTTCCTCTCTTCCTATGTAATATATGGGGGACATGGAGACTCCGGGGGATGCCAGGGTCACAGGATGGACACAGCCTGCAGCCCTGCATTGATAGGTACCCACCAAATAGGAACACTTACCTTGGACCCTTTAGCAAAAAACTTTGATGACATTTGAGCCACTGTAGATTTCAAAGTCTACCTGGTTCTATGGTGTGGTCTGCCTTAATGTACCATTTTCTCTGCTTAAGGTCAACAATCAAGATTGGCTGGCTTTGAGCACCATAATAATCCATGTTGGGGTCTGTGGACGCTTCTAATCTCCAATGCTGCCAAGTTCAAATGGCCATGCCTCCCTCCTCCCCAAGCTGTGTCCCCAGGGCAAGGGCAGAAGAAGCTGAGTGACGGGGAAGCCAAGCCATGCATTACATTACCACGTCTGTTCCCTTCCAGTGAGGCCCCATTTCTCTTGGGGCTGGGGGCTGGAGTCTTCAGTGCAGGTGTAGAGGTGACTGTACAGGACATGGGACTGGTGCAGGGACCCCTGGCAGCAGTGGTGGGGTCTCCTTCAAGGTAGCTGTCTCCAGAGTTCTTCCTTTTGGAGTAGAGTGAGGAGGAGGAGGGCAGCAGGGAGCCCCTGTGGCCGAAGAGGGAGCCGGAGGGGTCTGCATCATTGCGATTCATGCCCACAGTGCTGACTCGGCACTCTTCTGTGATGACTGTCTTGGCTAAGGGAGAAGGCAGTGCAGAGAAGCAGAGATGAGACAGGGTGGTCCAGGGAGCTACCTGATCCCAAGTCAGGGTGGGGCAGGGTGTAAGGATGGGAGATGCAGAGAACTGAACTTGTTAACTCCCAGTCAGCAGATGGGGTTATCTGCTGGAGAAAGTAGCCTTCTTAGTCATTAAAAACTTGGAGATAAAATCAAACTGAGCTCTTGCGTCCCAGGGGCTCTACCCTCCAGGGGTCTCGCTAGTTTCCCCCAGAACCTCCCTGTGTGGTTCTGACTAGAAGCTACCCCTTTTGCTATATGGTGTGTTTTTGTTTTCTTTCCATTATTATTTACATGGATTTTTGTTTGTTTCTAGACAAAGCCCGAAGGAATGACAAAGCCAGGAAGCAAAAGGAAATTTCTTCTTGCCTCTCCCACTCCAGATAAGATCACACATGCTTAGTCCCCTCAATAATTATCTGTATATTAGACCCCACTGACACAGACAGTGACAGAACCCTCCAAAAATACAATAAGCAACAGAAGAGAATGGATTCTATCAAGTGGCACAGGGAAACACATTTGGGCCATGAGATTCATATGTCTCCCCCATTTATGGATTCCTCCCATACTATAGGTACTGAAAGGTGGAGCTCATGGATCCTGGGGAACTCAGCCGGGGATAAGACACTCAGAGGGCATGCAACTGAAGTTGTGTCTAGTGGTAAGTTTATACTTGTAAATAAAAAGAAAAAAAAGATTCAAAGTAAATAACTGAATCTCATACCTTAAGCTGCTAGGGGCGGAAATGAACAAACTAAAAATCAAGTGAGTAGAAGACATGAAATCATAGAAATTTAAGCAGACATTGATTCAATGGAAAACAGAAAAAAATAATAAATGCAACCAAAAGCTGTTTCTTTCAAAATATCAATATGATTTGCAAACCTTTAGCTACAGTGACTAGACATCTTAGATTACTAGAATCGGAAGTGAAAGAGGGAATATTACTGCAAAACTTGAAGAAATAGGATGAATTAGTAAAGAATAATATGAACCAATAAAATTGGTTACTTAAGGGAAATGTTGAGACCATTGGTGCTCACTGGAGAAGAGACAGTCTTGGACATTGCACGATGACTTATTTGGCTAATCCTCCCACTGCAAGTGCCAGAATCCCATATGGGCGCTGGTTCATGTCCTGGCTGTTTCAGTTCCCATCCAGCTCCCTACTTATGGCCAGAGAAAAAAGCAGAGGATGGCCCAAAGCCTTGAATCCCTGCACCTGTATGGGAGACCCTGAGAGTCCTCCAGGCTCCTGGCTTTGGATCAGCTCAGCTCCAGCCATTGTGGTCATTTGGGGGGTGAACCAGTTGATGGAAGCTCTTTCTGTCTCTCCTTCTGGAAATCTGCCTTTCTGATAAAAAAAAAAATAAATAAATACATCTTTTTTAAAAAGTGGTGTGATAGGCCTCTAAAAAAGGAAAAGAGAAACAATTCCAACTCTTCAAAACCTCTTCCAAAATACAAAGGAGGAAGTGCTTCTCAGCTCACCCCATGATGCCAAAGCCGACATGGAGACTGCACATGGAAAGAAAATGAGAGCCATAGCTCTCATTAATATGGATATAGAAGTCCTCAACAAAAAACCAAGCCTTTGGCTGTCGCAACATGTAAAATTCAACTAACATAATACAACAAATTAATAAGACTGCAAAACCAAATCACATAACCATCTCAATAGATGCAGAAAAAGCATTTGGCAAAATCAACACCTTTCATGATTAAAAAAAAAATCAACAAACCAGAAAGAAAGAAAACTCATTGACAAAGGTCATCTACAAAGGGCCCCAGCTGCCATCTGTAGGTAATGGTGAAAGACTGGTTTGTTGCTTCCTAAGAAGAGAAACAAAACCAGGATATCCATCTTCACCCCTTCTATTGGACATTGGATGGATGGTTCCAGCCAAAGCAATTAGGTAAGAATAAAGCACCCAGTAAATTAGGAAAGAAGAGGCAAACCTATCTTTTATATGTACATACCCTTAAGCCATGACTATCAAAACTAATTATGAGTTCAGCAAGGTTGCAGAATACTAAACTAACATGTACATGTATTGGTTGTATTCCTACATACCTTGCACTTAACAGCATGAGAAGCAAATTATGAAAACAATTTCTTTATGTTAACACTCCAAAGTACAACGAACTTGGGAAAATTTAGTAAGAGAAGTAGAAACATATTTTGTCCCCAGCTGTGGGCAACTGCTTAGGTTGCCTTGTACCTAAGCAAGTGTTACACTGCTGGGAGAAAAGCAGCCAAGACTGGCAGAAATTCTGGGCCTGGTTAATGCCAACGCTATGTTAACTATGCCAGTGTGCCAGCATAGTTGCCTATTCTCTTTTTAAATGTTTTTCTAAATGTGGGAAACACTGTGTGCCACCAGGCAGTGCAGCACAGCAGAAGGTGGGGGACACTGAACTGGGACTCGCTACCTTCCAAGCAAGCCACGCAAGGCAGGAGGGCTGTGGACTTCCTGGCGGAAGGGGTTTGGGGATGTGCTGGAGTGGGGAACCACTGAGGTCATGTTTGACAGATGAGGAGTAACTTCTAGGAGTTTCCATAGACTGGGTCACTGAACTCTCAGGTAGGCAAAGAAGCTAAGATGGAGTGGTTTAGAGGTGAGGAAACCAGAGGGCGTGTCTGGATCAGACCAAGGCACCTGCCCACATGGGAGACCTAGGCTGGACTAAGTAGCATCACACGCCACCCACTGGCGCACATGAAAGCTTGGGCTGGGGTGCATTCCTAGCTGTACAAGTGAAGGCCCGGATTGAGGGCATATCATGCAAAGCAGGGATGCAGAACCTGTAGGCCCCGTCTCCCAAGGGTTAACTCCACAGCTTAGCTTGTTTCTCAAGGTGTAACAGGATGGGCAATCTTGGCCTGATACATTTAGCCCCTGGCTTGACCACAAGTTCCCTCTTCCCTGTTTCCCTTTTTAAGATGCCCTTGGGGGAGCTTAGCAGTTGCTTGAGCATTGGGAAAATACTGGGAGGAAACAGGCAGACTATAAAAGAGGCAGTTAACCTGAAATAAATGGCATTCTCGTTACAAGAAGGATCCACTGTGTGTTGTCTTTTTTGTAACCCTAGTCCCTCCGCTTGGCTTGGGGTACGTGGCAATGCGCGCGTTGCCGACAAGAACCCACTGGCCTGTGTGAGATTTGGGGCTGGAAGCAGGCCTTGTAGGGGAACTTAGAGAAATCCCTGCTATGCTGCAACTCCAGCTGGGGAGCACAAGAGCTGGGGCTGGGGACAGGCCAGGCTAGGCAAAGCTACAGCACATGTCAGCAATTGTATGAGCCAGGTCTGGAAGCAGGCTGGGCCAGGCTGCAACACCCGATTTTTGCACACATGAGAGCCAGCATTGGGTGTTGGCTGCACCATGCTGGGCTAGGCTGCAACATCTGCCAGCAAGAACTGAGACTGGGGGCCATCCATGCACCTCTTCCCTCAGTGGAAAGGTATCAGACAAAAGATTCTTAGAAGACCTGTCAATGCAGCTATGTGATAATCAGTTCCTGAATAGTGATAGGGAGGAAACATTTACTGGGCACCTATGACAGGTACCTGTCTAGCATCAGTAAGCAGTTGGGCTGTCATTACTTCCCTTTTGGAAAGCTTTCCTAGTCTGGGATGCCAAACCTTGTTGTGTCCCAAGTGGCAGGTGCTTTGATATATGTAAGGAAACCACACACAGTGTCTGACATGCTAGTTGTCCTAAAGTAAGTACCCAACAAATACTTATTTTTAAAAGATTTACTCATCTGAAAAGCAGAGTGACAAGGAGGGATACGGAAGGTGGGGAGAGGGGGAGGGTGGGAGGGAGGAAAAGAGAGAGTATGATGTCCTCCATCTGTTGGACCACTCCCCCAGTGCCCACAATAGCTAGGTCTGGACCGAAGTGAAGCTAGGAGTCAGGAAATCCATCCTGGTCTCCAGGGGCCCAAGCACTTGGTCTGTCTTCTGATGCCTTCACAGACACATTATGAGTGTTAGTTATTTAAAAGAATGTAAGAGTTCTAGTTTTAGGTTATACGATATTAAGATACTTTACGCCGCAGCTAATTCTCGCAACCTGGTTCTTTACCGTGAGCTGAAAACACCAGACGCAACGACATATCTTAGGAAGGTATCTTAGAGGTTTATTCCAGCGGGGCAGGAAAAGGGGAAGGGGAAAGGGAAGGGGGGGGGAAGGGAGGTAAGAAGGAGGAGAGGGAGAGCAGGGGAGAGGAACCAAGGAGAGAGCAAGAGCAAGAGCAAGAGAGAGAGCAAGAGAGAGCAAGACAGAGAGAGAGAACCGAGTGGGGCAGGAACAGGGGAAGGGGAGGGAAGGGAGGAAGAGCAGGGGAGAGGAACCAAGGAGAGGAAGAGAGAGAGCAAAAAAGGGGCGAACCGCACCTGGGGGCCTTTTTTGTCTGCCAGGTGTGGGGGGGCGGGGATTGGGAGGGATTGAGGTCAAGGCCCCAGGGGATTGGTGCCTGCAGGTGAATGCCTGGGGATGATTGGCAAGTGGGCGGGTTTGGGGAAGGGGCTGGGAGATTGGGGGTGGGATTCTCAGGTGGAATGCCAGGTTACATCTGATTGGTGGATGGCTGGACTGGCGCGAATCCCGTGAGCTGTGAGGAAGAAGAAATGGCGCAGGGTCCAGGGTGGGATATTGGAATAAATCCTTATATTGAGGAAGCCGGATTGGGAGTGGAGCAGCCAAGGACTTGAACTGGCACTCTGACATGGGCTGTTGGCATCATCAGCAGTGGCTCAACACGCTGTGCCCCTAATACCAGCCCCTCAAATATTTTTTGAGTAAATACTTGGGCCGGTGCTAGTAATAACACTGGCATTCCATAGAAGATGCATTAAAGTTGATATTATAAAACACTAACATAAAACCTCTTCATTTAGATTTTTGACAATGAAAAGATTTACAAAATACACTTATTCTGTTTTTATTCAATAGTTTAAATCTAAAGTAGATATGCCTACATAATGTTGCTAGACTCAAGCAGAGAATGCAGATAATTCCCTAGTCAGGACACAGATAGAAGCCCATTCTGCCTTGACTAGGTACCATAATGGGGAACGTGGGAAAATGTACTTTGTGCATTTAAAAACTGTTAACGACCACGGATGAGATCAAAGGCTGTGCAAACCAGCCTCTGGGCCATGAGCCAGATGAGCTCATCAGAGGGAAAACCGACTTCAGAGAGCACCAAGCAGAAACCCTGAGATATACAGCAGCAGTTAGAGGCAGTCACTGCAGCAGCTTTCAGAGTTGATGCGATGTGTCTGTTCCAGTCCAGTTAAAACAGTGTCCTCCTTGCAACAACAGGGGGACTTGTGCATCCTCTCTGTGTGTAGCAACGACCAATACGCTGGTGGTCATTGCTACCACAGGAATGAAAAGGGCCTTTCTAGGGGCCCAGAGCCTGCATTTCCTGTATTAGATGGGTTCCACCGGTGGGCCAGGAGATGTCAGGTCACAAACAACAGGCATCTGTTTTCCCGCAGTCCTGGAGGCCCAGAGTCTGGATTAGAGGAGTCTGCAGGACTATGTACCTGCTTATGGCTCAAGGGTGCCACCCCTTCTTGGCACTGCCTGGCTTCCGGCATTGCCGACGCTCCTTGGGGTTCTTGGGTTATAAATGCATTGCTCCTATCTTTACCCTCATCCTGGGGTTCAAATTTTCTCCCCCCACCCACTGACTTATCTTTAAAAAAAAAAAAGCCTGTTCTCTGAACAAGGTTCCAGGGTTCTGACTTTGAAAAAGAACATTTGTACTTTTGGAGGACACAATTCATTTTACCATAAGCAGTAATTGTTATTTTTTCATAATATTTTTCTAGTCATATATCATAATGGGCATCAATGAAATATAACATGAAACAATTATTTCACTCATCTACTAACTAAAGGCTGAAGTTAACAGACACAAAGTGTTTCAAAGGAATGGTCTTGAGGAAGCAGTTCTACAGCTACTGTTCCCAAATGCAAATTGTGAAGGGGGCACGGCAGAGCTGAACCAGCCCCCGCCTCTCTTTAGGCAAGGTGCTGTCTAGCAAGGAAAGCAAAGCAGATGATGGAACCTCTTACTGAAAAGTACCCCAAGGACACTCTATAATCTTTCTCGTACGCCCTAGTGCAGCTCATTGCAATGGCTGAAATTCTTCCTGCCATCCAACCTTAATAGTCCTCCCTGCTTCCGCTAAAAGGATGAGTGCTGGATTCACACCATTCGCTCTGCTTGGCGTTAAGCCATCCGGCATACAGGTGGGTGAATTGCTAACAGGCACAACTTTGAGTCGCTTCAGAATGTAATTGACACGTGTTTGTTAGCTGAGTCCACCGTTGACAAGTTGGCAAAAAGAAAGGAGGAGCAACTCTGTGATTGGAAAGAGAGAACCATGCTTTTCGGGAGGTTTTGTGGCTGACTGGTGAATGGAAAACCAGATGAGGCCAGTAGACTTGGGAGTGTGCCCAGTAGATCTAACTCCTGCACACGAAGTCCTGACAACCGTGTAGTGACAGGTGTCCATGGTCATTTCCACATGGATTCTTACAAAGCCCCCTCCCGTTTGGAATAAGCTGTCTTGTCAGCCCAGCATATCTCACGAGCAAGAGCCCCAGCCCAGCTTCCAGTTGAGGCCTTTTTGCTGCTGTAGAGGTTACCAGTGAAAACACAGCTGGGCAGATGAGCGAGCTCCTTTAATGCACTTCTACAATTACCTGCATCCATCTGAGTGACCAGGAATGCTTCTTGTAAGTTACTAAATCTTTCCTTCAGAAAACAAAACAAAAAACCTATTCTTTCTAGTCCAACCCCCAAGATATGCTTAGGTAGCAAGGCAAAGAAATAAAAGCAGAATTCCGGGCTTGGAGTCTGGCAGGCTTTCAGAGGAGCCTGGCGTTCCTCTCTCAATGTTCACTAATCTGCTGGTAGACTGTAAGTTCCTCCAGCCGCTGTGCGCAAAATGTGCCTATTAGACAAGCCCCAAGAACAACGCTGTAGGAGAGCCCAGGCCCACTCAGTCTCCAGGATGCCCCCATTTGTTTATGAATCGAAGCTATGCTGTTTGGGAAACAAAACCCCAGGATGTTGAAGCCACAGACCTCCCTCCTGCCCCTCCCCTGCTGGGGTCTGGGCTGGAAGGTGGGGTCAGGGGAGAGAGCATATCCCCTCCCCGCCCCTACTTTCTTGGCTTCCAGCCCCTTCCCTGCCCTGCCAAAGCAGCCCATTTCTGCTGCAGCCCTGGAGGGTGGAGGGTCAGGTGTGAGCCCTTGGGATAGGAGAACCTCAAAAGGGGAAGAAAAAAAAAAAAAAAAACAGAGAAAGAGAGGGGCAGGAAGGAGAAAGGTGGAGAGAAAGTCCCAGCGGTAAAAGTTAAATTGGCCTTTTACGGGGCTTCTCTAACCAAAGCCAGTCTGGAGAAGCAATAGTGCCACCATCTGCCCAATTCTTCTCACGCTGGATCGCTCAGGCACTCAACCAAACAGGCAGAGTCTGAGATTCTTGTCTCTCACATCTCTAAACAGTTCTCTCTCTGTCTCTTTCTGACACACTCCCATCCCCTCCACCTCCCCCCACCATCAGCCACAATTTCTCATTCTTAGGAGCCAGGGCAATCACCTCCTGACCAGAGGGGTCCACGGGTTCATCTGCTTAAAGAGACGGCAGCACCACAGTCCTTGCTTAAAACCCAGACCCGAAAATGCAAAGCCGCAGCTTGCAGATTGGAAGGGCTGTGAACTCACTACCACCTGACACTTAGCCACAGGTTGATGGTAACACCTGGACAGGGAAGCCAACACGCGCACTGAGATGCAGAGAAGTGGGCAGGGGCAGGAGGGGCGGGTCCCAGGAAGTAGCAGCAGGTGCAAGCCAAGGTGGGGAGGGGGCTGCCCTTCTTTCAGGCAGCCTGTCTGCAGGTGCTTCGGTCCCTACCTTGGTGGCCAGGTCCACACCAAGCTGCCTCCCGATGCTCCTGTAGGTGGGGGAGAGCGTGAGACAGGACGGGTCTTGGGCTGTGGACCTCCAAGGGATTTCTCAGTGGCAAAAAACAGTTTCCTGCTTGCCCTGGTGCAGCCGTGCAGCCTTTTCTCTGAGGCGCCTGCTCACCGCCCCGGGAGGTTTGCAGATGGCTGCTCAAGCTCAGTCCCGCCCCGTTGTTCTTGCAGATAAGCTCTGTTTTCCCCCAGGCCCTCGGTGGCCTCTTGGCCCAGCCTCCCTAGTTCAAAGGGCATCAGCCACACCACCTATGGGGCTGCGCATTTCATTCGCCTCAATTACATTTCCCAGTACTTTGGTCTCTGGCCAGTATAGATTTTTCTCATCAGGCCTGTCTCTGTTGTTCAGATCACTCAGCCAGAGACTCGACCTGGACTCCCCTTGGGTCCATTTAAGTGCATTTGTGTCACCCCCCCCCTTCCCTCCCCTAATGAGATGCACAGAAAACCAACCATCATTTCCATGCCTGACACCTGAACATCCTTTCATCCTCCCAGGAGGTTTCTAGTCTATCCAAGTCTTTGTTCTCAGCCTACGGTTGGTCTCTTCCTTGGGAAGTGATTTTGACCAAAGGCAACTGTTTGGCATAATGAATGCCTTTGGGGTCTTAAGAGCAGTTCCCCTAACCACCGTCTGCAAGATATGGCAGCTCCCTGCCAAGTCCCTGCCCCAGGCCTTGGGGAAACTCCCATGTGGCAGGGGCCAGGTAGGTAGGAGGTAGGATGCCTGGCAGCATGGGATGGGCTTCTTTAGTCGCCCCCACACTTTTTTGATCTTTTGTAAAACTTGGCAAAAAATGTGAACAGTGGTCCTTAATCAGGAAAATGTTGGAGTTCCTGGAATAGAGCTGGAAGCAGACATCTCCACTTGGAGGAGGGCTTGTTGTTTCTAGTTCCTTTCAGCCATGAGGGCTGTGGTCCAGGGCCCCCATGCGGATGCTTGAAACTGCGAAGGAGAGAACCCTAAATACACTGGGTCATCCAAGGCAGGCACATCGTAATGAAGTTTAATTTACACATTAGCTATAGTAAAAGATTAACAAAAGTGAATAATAAAATAGGACAAAGGCATAGTATAATAACAGGTGAATGTGAATTCTCCCACTATCAAAATGTTTTGTTGTACTGTAATCATCCTTGCTATCATAATGTGAGATGACACATACCTGCATCATGAAATGAAGTGAGGAGAATATATAGTCATTGTGATACGGTACTAGAATACTGTGTAGATGTCACCAACTTGTCCCAAGGACTGTGGTGTGACCACAGCCAATGTGATAACTGAGATGGCTACTAAGGGACTAGTGGGCAGCTGGCATATACAGTGTGGATATGCAGGACAAAGTGATGGCTAAGGGCCAGTGTGGTGGCATATAAGACGAGTCCTCTACTTGCAGAACCAGCATTGCATATGGGCACTGGTTCATGTCCCAGCTGCTCCATTTCCAATCCAGCTCCCTGCTTGTAGTTTGGAAAAGCAGCATAGGATGGTCCAAAGCCTTGGGCCCCTGCACCCACATGGGAGACCCAGATGATGCTCCTGGTTCACAACTTCAGACTGGCTCAGCTCTGGCCATTGTGGCCATTTGGGGAGCGAACCAGCAGATGGAAGATCTTTCCCTATGTGTCTCCCTCTCTCTCTGTAACTCTGACTTTCAAGTAAAAAATTAAGAAATCTTTAAAAAAAATAAAGAATGGTGTACATCTTGAGTGGTATGTGCAAGGTCATGCTATCTAAAATAGCTCACTTGGTACTTGTGATTACTTTATTTCTAGAATTTTCTATTTAATATTTTAAATGGAGGTTGACAGCAGGTAACAAACAGTGGATAAGGGAGGAGCAGTGTAATACTGTACGCTGCTGTAGTCATCTGCCATGCTGTCGGTGAACCAACAGCTCATAGGAACCTAACCCTGGCCAACAACCAAGGAAGGAGCTGCAAAGGGGATCCTACCTTCCTTGAGCTTTAGGATGCATGCCACCTTATGAAAGTCCCAGAAACAGAAAGCACTATTAGTTACACTGGAACTCCTGAACTGCCAGAAACTCTGAGGAAAAGGAATACTGCTTGTTGCCATTAACTTGTGGGGGGACTTTGCCGGAGTCCAGCTCCAGCCGAGTTCGGAGCTCGGGAAGGGTGCGTGGAGTCGCTGATGAAGAAAGACACAGACACAGACACTTGGTGCGTTCTCACAACAGCCCAAGAAAAGCTGTCCTTTTTATTTACTCAAAACCCCTCTCAAGCTTCTACACAAGCAACTAATTGTTCTATTTTTTACTCAAGACTAAGGGGGCATGTACAGACATTTGGTCATTCCATCTGCACTTCAAGGCTAAGCAGGTGCCCCTAAAGATAACTCTGCAAAATACTGTATTCATATTCTTCAAAGCAAGCCATTCTTCAACAGTAACCATGGAGCAACAGCCAGGACTCCAAGGCCAAGGCACATGTGATAACCTGCTAATCAGTAGTACATTCCTGCCACATTTCTATTTCTACAATTCACTCATTATTTAATGGGAAAATAGGTTACAAGGGAAAAATCTAAAATCTAAAACAAAAACTTCAAATATTAAATCTCCCTACAACTATAGACCCCTATAACCCCATAAGCAATAAAGCAATAATCAAAAGCATTTTTCTTTAATAAAAGCATCCTTAATTCCTCTAGCTAAAAATTACAAAAGCAGCTAAAACAATTACATTTTCTATACTCCTAAAAATTGCAAAGACAAGCTAGCCTTTGAGATAACAATAACTGTATTTATTGCCATAGCAGTTTCAGCTCTCACTCCCATCACTTGCATTAGTTTGTAAAATTCTTATTAAGCCATTTCCCAGAAGGCATGCTATATGTCTGGGCCAAATTCTAAGGCAATGGTTAAGTACCCAATAAGGTGTCCAAAAATGACATGGGCTTAATTGTGCTCCTGTGTGTAAATTATGAAAGGCCCACTCACCAAGACATTATCAGTGACATTAACTCTCAAGCTCACATCAGTGGCAAAAACCATCTCGCAGGGGCAAATAATAATGCCTCAATAGATTACAGAATTCTTAGTGGGGTGCTTGAGTGTCCATGCAGCCAGGGGGTGAAACAGCATCAGGGTGGTCAGAGAGAAATCCGCTGGGCCCTGCCAAACAGCTGGAAGCTCCCCCGGACCCTGCCAAGCAGGGGAGTTGTTCTCTTCACACCTTCGTGCCATCCACACCTATTGCACGGACCCCAGCAGGACTTGTTAAACAAGCATAGATAACTAATGCAGATGGAATAGGGGGATTTGTGCCTTGCTCTTGACTCTGTACATCCAGGTTGAAAGCTGTAACTGTTTCATTCAATTGTAGCTGGTCTATTTCTGCTCCAGATCCATTCTGCAGGTCTAGCTTCGGACCAGGAAGTCTATACAGTTTATTGCTTGTGAATGGACTTAGAATTCACCCACCCACAGAAGAGAGCTGAGGATGTGACTCTCAGAAACCTACCTGTAGGTTTGCTAAGCTGCCTCAGGTCCTCCTGGCACGTTTTGCCGTTTTATTCGTAGTAGTGATGTGTGGCCAGCAGACAGCAGATCCCATTTGGGACCCAGAGATTTGGGGGTGGGCCCTAATCTCACAGTCTTTGTCTCTCAATTTCCCCTAGTCAGCATTTTCCTTGTTCGGCTGATTCGGAGGACATGGCTGCTGTCTCCTGGAGCCCACTGAGAGTCCCTGCTCTGAGCCTCCTCTCTGGAGACAGGCCTGCCAGTGATGCAGCTGATTTTCTGCCAAGGGCCTGCCTTACTGCTTGGCGTGGGGACCGGGAGTCTAGTGCATCAGCCAGCGGCTCCAGTGGCTCGGGAAGTGTGCATGGCGTAAAGGACTGTCCGTCTGGAAGGAGGAGATGTGCAGTGGGTTTTTCTTGAAGGACAGGGCACATGATAGAGATAGTGATCTCTTGGAAAGAATTCTGAGCTCAACATTCTAGGAGATGGAGTTTGTTTTTTGGTTCTTTTGGAGTGGGGCAGGGCAGGATGCCAGCTGAGACACTGTTTCAGTTCCCTAATGCTAGGAGCATATTTTACCCTTTAAAAAAATCCATATAAACTAGAACATATATATTTTATTGTAAAATAAATTTATTTAGAGGCAATCACACACACATAGCATACTCCCATCTGCTGATTCATTCACCAAATTGCTACCACAGTTTGTTGCTAGAATCAAAACCAGGAGCTGGGAACTCAGTGCATGTGTCCCACGTGGTGGCAGGGACCCTGATACTTGAGCCAACACCACTGAATCCCAGGATTCTCAGGAGCTGGGAGCTGGAATCAGGACCCGGGGGTGAGAACGGAACTGAAGTACTGCAACTTGGGACTTTTCTCCCAACACTCCTAGGAGGAGCTCTGACAAGCTCTGGAAAGCCTCCCGGAAGTTACAACCACCGCCACCATTCTGCTCCTCAAGCCACTGGTGCCGCCATCCTTATTATTTAACAATTTTGAGTGAGAAGCGTGTTATTTCAAAATTGTATCTGAATATAGGTAGTTTTCTTTAGAATATTGCCAAGGTGACCAACCTGATTCACTAGCATATGAGGGGGCCCGGGGCAATAGTGTAGTGGTTAAAGTCCTCAGCTTGCACCCCGGGATCCCATATGGGCGCTGGTGCTTCCTATCCAACTCCCTGCTTGTGGCCTGGGAAAGTAGTCGAGGACAGCCCAAAGCCTTGGGACCCTGCACCCATGTGTGAGACTTGGAGGAAGTTCCTGGCTCCTGGCTCTGGATCGGTGCAGCACCGGCCGTTGCGGTCACTTGGGGAGTGAATCATTGGATGGAAGATCTTTTTCTCTGTCTCTCCTCCTCTCTGTATATCTGACTTTGCAATAAAAATAATTAAATCTTTAAAAAAAAAATAGTATATGAGGACTTTTTAAAGGCCTCTGGTGTGCATGGACTGAAAATTTTAACACCAAAATGAAGTCATTGTTTAATTCCACTTTCCAAGAACTTTAAAAAAAATGTCCTCCTACCATTTATCCCATATTTGTATTTAAAGTACAGTGGACAAGTACAGCAGCTGAATTGGATCACTCATTCATTTACCCAGCGGTTACTGAGTGAATAGCTTCCCCAGTGTCTACAGCAGCTGAGAGAGAACCCAAGCCTTACAAGGCAAAGAGATTCAATAAATCACAGGACATGCTATAACTCCACTTAAAATTCTCCAAAACCCAGAATTCTCTGGATGTGCTTTTATTCAACAGAAGTCATTTCCCTTCATAAAGCCCTCTACTTGAAAATATGCAAAGATACCAACATTTCATGAAAGAAATCAT